ATATATATATGCAGAATAAAATCATGTTACAGAATAATAATAATAAAAAAACTGATTTAGACCTGGTTAGTTACCTGAGGCAGTGAAGTTCATTTTGGCTGAGGAAGTACTGAAACCACAAAGTTAGGGTTCTGAAGGGGTCGTCTACATGACAGCTAGGATGATGTGAAGGAATGTGGAGGAGAGAGAGGAGCACTGTGAACTAGCTGCCAGTGTTCTTAAACATGAGAATAGCCAAGAGGTAAATAGGTGACAATGATTAGGAAAGGTAGATGTAGTGAAATAAGTGTGTGAAAGATAGACTGGAATCAGAAGACATGAATTTGAATCTCTCCTACCTTGGTAGCCTTGAACAAATTACTTAATTTAGTTAAGAAAACAACTCCATACAGTGGAACTGACGATGATTGGAGGTGAAAAGAATAATTGCTATGAGGATTAATGACATAATTAATGCATGTGAAACACTTAGTACAGTATGTGACAAATTGTGCAAATAGTTAGGAAGATTTTAAATTGTTCTTCTGATATGTGGTTTTTATATAGCAAATTGGATATAATAAAAGGAGTAATTAAAGAAATAGATTTGTATTTCAAGGTTTGATGTTGATCTTACTTACGAAAAAAGATACTTGGTTAATTCTAACAATGGTGGGATAATGGTGGTAAAGTGAAAAGATATGAGAAATGCTATTAATGATGGTGCTAGTTATAATAGGAAAAGAAGTCCATTTTGGGGGCAAGAACTGGAACTAATGCTGAATTTTCCAGTGATATTTAAGTTTTGTAGCTAAGCTTACATTGTTGTAAGAATTTTTTATTTTTGAAATTCCTTCAGGGAAAAGCTTTATTCTGAAACTCCAGCCCTAACTCCTTACCCTCCCCTGAAATAATTATTTTAAAAACTTGGCCTTTGATAATGTGAGGGTTTTTCCTTTTCTTTGCAGCCCAGCAGAACTGATGGTGAACTTTAGTAGTTGTGAGACTGTTAGGGGAGTTAGGAGATGGATGAACTCACCCTTTACCACCCTACCCTTCCTTCTTGCCCAAGGCAGAAACACACTGAGATGGGTAGGAAGATATGTGTAGCTGATATGAAACAGTTTCCTCAGGGGAGTCAGGACTCAGGCCAAGAGATTAAGAAAGTAGCAGTTTGTGGACTGTGGAATGGCATTCATAGGATGCAGTAAAATCAGGTGAGGTAAGAGGACAGCAGTAGAAAAATATCTTTTGTTTTTTCAGCAAACATTTAAGAGGATACCTTATAGGTCAGTTCTGTCTCATGGGGTCACTGTGAGATGAAATCAACTCCACAACACCTAACAACTGCAAAAGCCATGTGCCTAGGCGCTGTGTTAAACAATAGCCAGGGATACACAGATGAACAAGATGCCCTTAATTATTTTTACTCTGAAGAGGACATTTACACAGATAAATTTAATGTAGAGATGATGAATGTGTAAACTAAAGAAAGGAAGAATACTTTAAACTGATACTTGGAGAGAGGGGAAGAACAACAGCACAATGGTGACTGGAATCTTCTAGAGCTCAGTGTTATGACTGGAGTTAATTTCCTTGGGCATAGGTTCCAAGTATATTTCTAACATACCATAAAATACAGAGGTCAGGAAAGCTGCTCCTCAAAGTACTTAATTACTGATTTAGGTTTCTGTTCATTTAGGATTATGCACCATGGATGATTTTACTCTGGAAAGTCTTACTCTAGCAGATTATGCCTTGTTAGAAGATTGCTCTTATATGGAGGATTCGAAATCTGCTCCTGGATCTATAACCCATAATTGTGTTCATTTGACTCAAGTTTACAGTAATGGGGTGGTAAGTAGGTTTGCTATATATATATATTTTTTAGCATTATCTTAAAGATTTTCTGTTTCGAGAGGTGTAAGAGTAAGATGTTTTTGGTACATGGGTTTCTATAGGAATATATACATACTTTTGATAAGGAGATTTCAGAAGGGAATAGCAGAGAATGAGTGATAGTAAAAAGTTGTTTTCTAACTGGAGATTAGAAAAACTCTCAGGGGAGTGGTAGAAACAACTTGGGAAGCTCTGTGGAAAAATCTTTTAAAGACTAATTGGTTGAAGATGAGTTCAAAGTGTGAATACAAATAATGTACTGAAATTTTTCATTTTGGTACCAATAGTCTCTTAGAGTGAAAATTAAGAAGTATACTTTTGCATTTTACCAGATAAACATCAAAATATATATTTTTTCTTTTTAGGGTATGTACTGTAAAGATTATACCCAAAGTGAGAGAAACTTAGGTGAGTACATTGGTATTTTAATGATAAGTATTTGAAAGACTATAAAGGAAGATTTATTTATCCATTTATATCAACAAAGCAGATTGGATATATCTTTTAACAGTTTATCTTTTATTCTTTGTCACTAAGAAACCAAAAGCATTCTTTGTTAAAACAGAATTTTAACTATTTTAGAACAGTTTAAGTTAACACTTAAACGAATTTTGTATCTAACAGGTTTAAGATATTTTCATTGTAGTCAGAGTGGCTTGCCTTTTTATATACATATTTGCCTTTTCCCTGTTAACAGTCTTGATTCATTCCAAAATGAGGTGAAAATATTAATTTAAATTTTTTGTTTTTTAATTTAAGAACTTGATATCTGCCGTATATGGTGTAGGAAGCCAGTTTCTGTCCTGAAAGAATACTGCGATGTCATTAAAGTATATGTCTTCTGGCCACTTCTGTTTCAACGTCAGCATGGTTCTTTATTGGCACGATTGCATCCCTGTGTGGACTCCAAGTAAGTTACTATCCGTTATTCATTTTGCATGAGCAGTGACAAGCACATTGCCTAGTACTAAGGAATGCCAAGTGCAATTGAAGGCTTATGTCTCGTTTTGGTAAACTGTTCAGTTTGACTCTTGTTTAATAGGGAGAGGTAGAAAAGTGAATACTTGGGATTTGGGATTTTGAATGAATGATCATTATAACATAAAGCATGAAATTCTGAATAGCATTAGATGGTAGACTTGGAGCTGAGTCAGGGAAAGATAATATGCTGTATGTAAATATCAACATTGTATTACAGAAGAGAGAAAAAGGTATATAGTATTTTGTCCACTTAATAAATAACTTCAATTACTGTTACTTAGAGTGAAGAAAACAGATAACATAATTTTTTCCCAGTATTTTAATTGAGGTGTAAATAGTTAGGGATATCTAAATCTTAAGTGTAAATTTCAATGAAGTTTTATATAAGATCCTAATCTTTTAAAAATAAATTTGTTTTTAAGTAATTCTCATGCTTGTGAGTTAAGTTTGGAGAAATTACAACATATTGAGTTGATGGAAGATATTGTGGATTTGGCAAAGAAAGTTGTGGTAAGTGATAGCACATAGTTTCTTTCCCTTTATTTAAGGAATGTAAATATTTTTATGGTGTTAGGCAAATGTTACTGATTTGTAGCAGTTAACGGGTACAGGCAGTTTCTGGGTTATGAGCTAGATTGTTCCTAAATGTGTTTTTAAGTCAGGTTTGTAGTTAAGTTGGAGCTGGTGCATATGGTTTTTATTTTGCCTTACTTAAGTAAGTAAAAGAGGACACCTGGTGGTACAGTGAGTAGTTAAAGCTCTCTGTTGCTAACTGAATTGTCAGTGGTTGGAACCCACCAGCCGTTCTGTGGGAGAAAGATGTGGCTGTCTGCTTCTGAAATTATTTACAGCCTTGGAAACCCTATAGGGATAGTTCTACTCTGTCATGTAGGGGTGCTATGAGTTGGGATCAACTTGATGATGCTGGGTTTAGTTCAAGAACAGACTCAGAGCCTTTTTAGTGATTTAAGAGCTGCTCTGGTAGCGTAGTGCCTAAGGCAGTTGACTGCTAACCAGAAGGCTGGTGGTTCAAACCCACCAGCCACTCCTCGGAAGGAAGGTTAGACAATCTACTTCCATAGTGATACCCCCTCGGAAACCCAAGGAGGGGTCACTATGAGTCAGGTCTGACTCAGCTGCTCATAACAACAACACCACATGCAGCAAGTGAAAGTAATTGTGATGAAAAATTTGCTGTGGGTTCAGTCATTCCAAAGTGAGGGCAAATTTAATTAACATTGAAGAGCAAGTAGGATTTTTTCTTAAGTCAGATGTTTATATCCCAGGGACTGTCGTGATTTTACTTTTGGTTAACCTGAGACTGTCCTGCTGTTTGGAGACTTATACATTTAACATGCTCGACTGCTAATTGAAAGGTTAGCAGTTTGAGTCCACGCAGAGGAGCCTCAGAAGAAAGGCCTGGATATCTATTTCTAAAAAATCAACCATTAAAAACCATGTGGAGCAGTTCTACTCTGACACATATGGGGTCACCATGATTCAAAACTGACTTGATGGCAACTGATTTATTCTACTTGCTGTTCATGAGTTTGTGCTCTGTATTTGTGTGATCAGGCAGACAGCTGTTACCATAGTTCTGACATGTCATTTTGTTGACCAAGACTGCTGCTTGTTATAGAAGGATAATAAGTGGAATGTGTCACAGTCTATTACGTGATCAAAATGGGATCTTGGTTCTAGAAACTTGTGACAGGTTCTGAAATGGTGGTTTCTGTTTCCTAACATAAAAATACACCATGATTATCACTACTACAACAAATATTTTATCTTCAGGGTAAACTTTATCATGTCCCTTTTATGAAGGCTTTGACTGAAGATTTTATTTTTTTCCTTAAGACATTTGATAATATTTATTACTTCAGTTGTTTACGGAGCCAAGTGTTTTTCATGGTACTATTTTGACTGCAGACTTAAATTCAGAAAAGGCATTTTGATAATATTTCCTACTGATAATTCTTTGCAGTGACTTATGTCAGCCAGTGTACTTTAAAAAAATTCTGATGTCATGAAGTTTAAAAATTCATCCATCTAACCAAACCAAAAGCCCATTGCCATCAAGTCAATTCCAATTCATACCAATCTTTTAGTACAGAGTAAAACTGCCCAATAGGGTTTCCAGGGCTATAAATCTTTATAGAAGCAGACTGCCTCATCTTTCTCCTACAGAGGAGCTGGTGCATTCGAATCAAAGGTTACACTAAATTTAAAGGTTACACTAAGTCATTTCATCACTAGAGCCCTATGTAAGACCATTTCTGAATTCTTGCTTTTGGTCCTTAAGGGGTAAATTGAGCATGAAGGTACTGGTGAGAAAAAGACTATTTATATATAATAGTTTTCCTAAGATACAGGAATTTTTTTCCACTAGAAAATAGAAGTATAGTTGTTTGAATAAGGAAAAACTTCTATCTTGTTCTTTTTTGTTTTGCAGAATGATTCATTCTTGATTGGAAATTTACTGAGAATTGGTTACAAAATAGAAAATGTAAGTATTAAATGTGGGAACCCCACACGACCACTATGAATAAATGGCATTCATTTCCCTGCTCATTTATCCATGTATTGAGCCCACATTTTACACATGGTATTTGGCAGTGTTGATTGCTGTATCTGCTTAAGCAGTTTTCTGATTCTGGGGCTTTGAGTCATTTTCATTTTTATATGATATATGTAGCATAATTTTGAGTATCTTTGTAGAGGTTGATTATTTTTCTGTTTTGGACTACTTACCTGGCATGGTGTTGTTAGGTGTCATCAAATGGTTCTAACTCAAAGTGACCCTATGTATAACTGAATGAAACACTTTCCAGTCCTGTGCTATCCTCACAAATTGCCATGCTTGAGCCCATCATTGCAGACACTGTGTCAACCCATCTTGTCTTCCCCTTTTTCATGGACCCTCTACTTTACCAAGTATGATATCCTTCTCCAGGGACTGATCCCATTTTTTTTTTTTTTTTTTTTTTGGTTTTAATTATGATTTGGGTGAAAATTGACAGAGCAAATTCACTTTCCATACAGAAGTTCACATACACTTTGCCTCATGATATTGACCACAATTTACCACATGTAACAGCTCCTCTCCCACTTCCTCCTGACAATCACCACTTCCCTGTGTCCATCCCTTCATGCACTCCAGCCCCCTGAGCTGTCTCCCTGTGCATAAGGAGCCCTTCTTTCTCCCATAATTATTCTCTCCAAGGAGTGTATCTACCTCAGGTAAATATTGAACTCATATGCCTGTCTTCTGTTTGTCTGGAAGCCACAGGTGTGGGTTTCAATTCCAGACCTGAAGGGCAGCTAGGGGCCATAGTCTCAGTGGTTCCACCAGGCTCTATCAGACCAGGAAACCTGGTCCCTCTCCCCCTCTGCAAATGATTTTAAGTTTTGTTCCCCATTGTTCTCCCTTTCTATCCAGGATCTCCGACATAGATCCCCCTCTGAGTGGTTGACAGTGGTAGCCAGGCACCAGCTAGTTCTTCTGGTCTCATAGTTGTATAGGCTGCAGATCGCATGGTGTATCAGTCGCTAGGACTAACTTTTACCATGAATCTTTGGTTTTCTCCATTCTTCTTTGCTCTGGATGAGGAGAGACCCATTGTTGCATCCAGATGGCTGCTTGCAAGCTTTTAAGATCCCAGTCGCTACTTGCCAAAGTAGGAGGTGCAACAATATTTTGTGTAGTATGTTATACCAATTGAGCTTGATGTCTCCTGTGTCTATGGTCCCGAGCCCACAGGTTCAGCTACTTGGTACCTCTGGGTAGCTGGCTGTGACTAAGAAGTGACTACAACTTTATCCCTTGTCAGCTCTACTATACACCTGGGAATTCAGATCATACAAATATATTTCTAAGGCCATTGTCTGCCAACCCTATACATGGTCTTGGGTACACTCCCCACTTAATAGACATACCTAATCATTCAGCCTGTCCACCCATCTGTTCACCCATATATCCATGTTTGCCTTCACTGACAA